ACCCCCACCGCAGCCTCACGCCCACCACCGCCGCGGACTCCGCCTTTGAATTTGCCTCGAGCCCGTCCGTCGCGCCGCGCGCCCTCTGACCCGGAAGCGCTCGGCGGCGGGACCGCTCCCGGCGCGGCGCCCCCTCCCCACCAGAGCGGGCCGCCCTGGGCCAGAAGCACGAGACGGGGTGGCGCTCCGCGGACGAGGGTGAGGCGGCGGCGCTTTTTAACGCGCCCGGGGACGTTAGGAGCGCGGGTCCCGGCACGGGGCGGGGTGAGGAGTGGTCCCGGGTAGTGGGCGGGGCTCGGGGGCTGAGGCGGGGGTCCTGAGCACGGGCCTGAGGGGGTTCTGTGGAGACGGGCGGGGTCCCGGGAACAGCAGCCCAGGTGAGTCCCGGGAGAGTGGGCGGGGCCCGGGCGCTGAGAGGTCCCAGCTGGGGTGGTGGGCGGGGCCCGGGCGCTGAGAGGTCCCAGCTGGGTGGTGGGCGGGGTTCTGGGCGTGGGTCTTACAGGGTCCCCTAGAGAGTGGGTGAAGGGTGTCCCGGCTGGAAGTGGCCGGTGGTGTCATGTCAGCCGTCGCAAAACACACCGGACACCGAAGGAAGGGAAAGGGTTTACTGGGGAACACCCTACAGACCAGAGTGAAGGGGCGGCGAAGGGAAAAAGAGAGAGAAAGAAATAGAGAAACAGAGAGGAGAGGAGAGGAGCTAGTGAGGAGAGAAGAGAGCAGAGAGGAGCCGAGAGAGAGAGAGCCAAGAGACCAGAGGAGGAGGCTGGAGAGAGAGCAGGAGAGGCGAGCCAAGAGAGCACGTGTTCAGGAACAGGCTCTTTTAAAACTTTGCCCGAGGGTGGGCTGGGATGCAGGAGCAGGGAATCCCATTAGGATGGGGGTGGAGCCTGGCTCAGGTAGCTGGGCCATGCGGCCACCTGGCTAAAACTGCGCCAGTTTCCTAACAGCTGGGGTAACGGGCATGGGGCTTAAATTAAGGGTCCCGGGATAGTGGGCAGGGCCCAGGGGTTTAGGGAACCCAGCTGGGTGGTGGGCTGGGTTCCGGGCATGGAACTTACAAGGTCCCAGAATAATGGGTGAGGGGGGTCACGGCTGGATGTGGCCAGGGTCTCAGGTATGAGGCTTAGAGGGTCCTGGGGTAGTGGGTGGGGCTGAGGGGCTGGGGGTGGTTTCCGGGCAGGGACCTAAGGGGGTTCTGGGCAGATGGGCGGGGTCCTGGGGACTGAAGCTGAAGGGAGTCCCTGGATGATGGGCTGGTTCCCAGGAGTGGGGCTTAGAGGGTCCAGGATTGTGGGCGGGGCTGGAAACTGACAGGGTTACAGGGGGGATGGTGGGCGGGGTCCCAGGGTTCAGGGGTGCAGGGACTCCTGGGGAGGTGGGCGGGGCTCAGGAACTAAGGGGGTCCAGGGTGATGGTGGGCAGGGTTGAAGAGTTAAAATTGTATATGTGCGCGTGTAAAAAGTTAAGCTTAAGCTTACAGGTTTAAACCTTCCTGGTACAGCTGTAAAAATAAGACAGAGTGAAGTAGCACCTTGACAGTAGGGACCCCATTTTGGAGCACTTGAGACTCCATTCTGAGAAAGCACCTCCCCCCCCACTGTGAGACTCTGGTCTGAAACTATGATCTCAAATAGTCGGACAATAGCAGTGCACGACATCACCCTTGGCAGAGCACAAAAACCCCCTAGCATGATTGCTCAAGCTTAAAAGTAGAAAGGTTGTACCTGGGTTACCTGGGCTAATAATAAAGATGTGATTTGTCTGTGTGTTACATTAATGTCAAGTCCTAATTGCTAATTGTAATATTGTAACTGGTATTGTCAAGATTATGATAAATATTAATTTCACTTAGGTTTTAGGTTATGTTAACCCCAGTAACCATATACTCTCTTTTGATTTTATGTACTCTCTTTTGATTTTAGCAACTGTGTATAGCAACCGTGCATAGCAACCATGTATTCCCCCCTTCCCGGTTTTGCGGTTTTTGCCTTTATAAACCCTAACCTTTGGTTATTCGGGGCTGCTCTGTTCATGTATGATCAGACAGCCCCAGCATGCTGGATAATCAATAAATCTTTAACCCTTTGCTGGTTGCATGAGAGAAAAGTCTCTTGGAGTCGTTCCTCGGGCAGTGGGCTTTTTCTGACTCTAACAGGGTTCTGGCATTCAGGGGCCAAGGGACCCCTGGGGAGGTGGGCCTGGGCACAGAGGTGGGGGTGGGCCTGGGACCACGCACTTGGCCCCTGGAAGATTCACTGGGTCTGGGGCACAAAAGGGGTCCTTGTTCTGAAGGGTGAGGATTCTTGGCCCAGTCTTGGGGAAAAAAAAAATTGGAAAATGCACTGGCTTTGTGGGAACTTGGAGGATCTCTCTCTCTCTCTCTCTCTCTCTCTCTCTCTCTATCTCTCTCTCTTTTTAGATTGATTGATTTCATTTCAAAGACAGAGTTACAGAGATAGATGTTGTATCTGCTGGTTCACTCCCAAAATAGCCACAACAGCCAGGGCTGGGGCAGGCTGAAGCCAGGAACCAGGAGCTTCATTTGAGTCTCCCATGCAGGGACTTGGGCCATCTTCTGCTGCTGGCCCAGGCCATAGCAGAGAGCTGGATCGGAAGTGGAACAGCTGGGACTAGACAGCGCCCATATGGGATGCCGGCACTGCACCTGCTGCACCACAGCACCAGCCCTGGCAGATGTCTTGTGACTCTGCCTCTCTCCCTCCCCGTGGTCCTGCAGCAGCTGTACCGTGTCAGCAGCAGGCAGGGCAGCATCCAGAGGAGGGCCTTGGCATGTGAACGCTCCTGGGTCCCAGTCTTGCTCTCAGCGAGGATGAGAGGCCTGGAGGGGACTTGGAGCTCACGGGGTGGGCCTGTCAGGCACAAGAACAGTAGGTGCTGGAAATGCATGGACAAGTGGAGGCTCCATCTCATGCTTTTTAAGGGATTTGTGGAAACGACACTGTTAGTGCCCCCTTTCCCACCCAGAGTTTTGTGGGAGGCAAGGCTGAGTCTTGATGGAGCTTGGTGTCCCCAGTTCTGACACAGGGCTGTGAAGCAGAAAACGGTAAACACTACGGACCAATGGCTTTCTGTTTGATTTTCATTTTTCTATTTAATTTTTATTTTTTATTCAATTTTCAGTTTTCTATTCAATTTTCATTTTTCACTTGTTTTTCTCTTCAATTATCAGCTGACAACAGGAGTGCACCTGTTCAACAGCTTCTGGAAAGTTTCCTCCAGCGACTCCAGACGTACCCATGGCTGACTCCAAGGAGCCCGCACTGGGGGACATGTGAGGTGCCATCTTTCTTTTCTGAGGGGTCTGCCCCGCCCACTCCCATGTGAGCTGTGGAGCAGACACCTTCTCCCATCTGGGCCATGGGTAGACAGACATTGTGGACCGTGTGAGACAGGGCTCAAGGACATGGAGCGGACCCCTTTGTTCTGTCCACTCAGACAGAAAGGCCACGTGGGGCATCAGGGATACCGTGGACGTGTGTGTCAAGGCCGGAGCCACAACACTCTTGGTGGACTTCTGCTATAGCCAAGATACCTGTCCCTCTCTTAAAGGTATGTATTTTAGAGTTCTTAAAATAATTGGTAAAGGTTTATTCATTTGAAAGGCAAGTGACAGATAGTGATACAGAAACAGATTTTCTGTCTGGTGGTTCACACTGCAGATGGCCACAATGGCCAGTCCTGGGTCATCCGGGAGCCAGGAGCTTCATCTGGGTCTCCCATGTGGGTGTGGGTCTCCAAACACTTGGGCCATCTTCCACTGCTTTCCCAAGTGCATTAGCAGGGAGCTGGCTCATAAGTGGAGCAGCCAGGATTTGAACCACTGTCCGTATGGGATGCCAGCGTTGCAGGCAGTAGCCAAACCTGCTGCATTGCAATGTCATCCTGGTTTTTTATTTCTAGGAAACAAACTTTGATCAATGGTATTAAGTGTTTGTATTTTAAGGATGTCTGTGTCATTCAGAAATGTAGGTTTGAGGCCAGTATTGTGGTTTAGTGGGTAAAGCCACCTTCTGCAATGCCAGCTTCTCATATGGGCACTGACTGATGTCCCAGGTGCTCCACTTCCAGTCCAGCTCCCTGCTAATGCACTGGGGAAGGAGTAGAGGATGGACCAAGTCTTTGGGCCCCTGCTACCCACGAGAAAGATGCAGATGAAGCTCCTGGCTCCTGGCTCCTGGCTCCTGGCTGACCCAGCGCTGGCCATTGTGGCCATCTGGAACCTGTGAACCTGCAGATGTAAGATATTTCTCTCTCTCTCTCTGTAACTCTGCCTTTCAAAAATACATTTAAAGAAAGAAGGAAATCTGTTTCAGGTTCATCTGCTCAGTCGAGATTGCTTTTCATGGATATTTTGCTTTTCCTGAGATGGATGTGAAGCTCCTGGATGTTCAATGATAATCAGACCCCGGATGGACTGTGAGACACGGAGACGAGACCCTGCCTGTGTACCATTCAGCCACAGCATTCAAGGTGAACGGACTTTGTCTTCTGGGATGATTGTTGGAGTTCTGTGTGTCTGTATCCACGACACTTGCTTCCTCTTACCCTTTCATCCAGGTCTGCCACATGGGTGCAGGGGCCCAAGCACGTGGGCCAGCCTCCTCTGCCTTCCCAGGCCATTAGCAGGGGGCTGGATTGGAAGAGGAGCAGCTGGAACTGGAACCTGTGCCCATATGAGATGCCGGCCCTGCAGGTGGAGGCTTTACCTACTATGCCACAGCACCGGCCCCTTAAAAATATTTTAATTTTTATTTATTTGAAAGGTAGAGAGAAACAGACAGAATCAGAGAGACAGAGAACTCCCCCCCACCTGCTAGTTCACGCCCCAACTGTCTGCAATGGCTGGAGCTGGGCTGATCCAAAGCCAGGAGCCAGGAGCTTCTTTGAGGTCTGTCACATGGGTGCAGGGGCCCAAGGACATGGGCCATCTTCTACTGCTTTCCCAGGGCATAGTAGGGAGCTGGATCAGAAGTGGAGCAGCCGGGACATTTTACTGGCACCCATATGGGATGCTGGCACTGCCGGCGGTGGCTTTACCCGCTATGCCACAGCACTGGCCCCCTCTCAGTTCTTAAAAATTATTTTTTTTTTTTAGGTTCGGAGAGCCAAAATTTTTTTCCACACGATTCCTGCATTTCCCTTCCGGTCTCTTTCTGACAAGGATTTGGAACTCTGCCGTTTGTGGGGCGTTGTGGCCTGGGTTGATTCCTGTTCTGTTCTTTCCAGGCCAACACGTGATAACACAGTGACCGGCAAGAGCAGGTACCGTGTGCTACAGGTCGGCCGAGGAGGCCCTGCCAGCAGCTTTACGGTGGGAAGCAAGTGAAGGACCCACTGATGGCAGCGAGCCAGGGCGGCCCGGTGAGTTCTAGTCTGCGATGGGTGTGTGTGAGCAGAAACTGGAAGAACAGTGAAAAGGTGGCGTGCTCCACCCAAGGTCACCATCATGGGGCTGACCCCTCTGCTCTGGGGTACGCACCCCTGGCCGGTCTCTTCCTTTCTGTGGCTGTTCGTGGCCCATCTCACCTCGGCTCGGCAGAAAGTTCCAGACCCGTTGATCTGCAGCCCGGGTGTCAGTCTCCCTGTGGGTTTGTTTGCAAGGCAGCCTCGCTGAAGGCAGATGGCACCTCCTGCTCCTCGCCATCCTGCATTGCGACCTTATCCATCCAGGAGCCAGGGCTGTCCGGGTCATGTGTGGGTGGGGCACAGCACTTCCCATGCACCTGGGCTGCTCCTGCCTCTGGCCCTGAGCTGTCACCAGCTGTGAGGCCAGGGGAGGCCGCGGCCGTCCCATCCCACCCCGCCGTCTCTGCGGCCTGGCTCTGAAGGAGAGGTAGAACCCTGCTCTGGGCCTTCTGATTGCAGGAGTGGCGGCTCGCTGTGTCGTCATGCGGGACGTGGGTTTGTCTCAGCAGGCAGAGACGGGGCTGCTGCTGGGGAACCTGCTCCTGAGGCTGTGCACATCCCAGTAGAAACCACCAGGAGAGCAGAAAGCCGGGGGAGGTCATGAGGTGACATGTGGGCAGGCGTCCCATGGGCATAGACGCCCTTCACAGCTGCTGGTCTGGGTGGGAGGAGCCTGGTTCTTCAGAAGCTCCAGGTCCGTGTCCTGGACCCAGGTGTCGGGAGACAGCAGGTGCAGCCCTGGCAGCATTCAGCTGGACCCTGTACAGAGGGAACCAGCCGTCCCTTCCCTGCCCCTCCAGAGGGAGGTGACCGAGTTGCCTAGGTGACTCACAGAGGTCACCCCCGAAGGCATCGGCAGGCTCTAGACCCTGCTGGGTGTTCCAAGGGTGGTTTGGTCACCATGGCAACACCACCCTGCAGCCCCAGTGGCTGCTGTGGATGGAGGAGGCAGAGGGCTGAGGCAGCCTCCCACCCACTGCCACACCACTCTGCCTGCTGTGGCCTGGCCAGCCCACGTGGCTGGCCCCAAGCTCGTCTGCCACCCCCCAGACAGGCCCCTTCCTGTCTGAGCTGTTAGCATTCAGTAGCCCCTCGTGCTCTGATGCCCCTCCCCGCCCCAGTGCACAGTGCCTGTCGGTGAGCGAGGCTCTGCCTGTCCCACAGCACAGGAGACGACGGCTGGGCCCCCTCTGGGCAGCTGCCTTGCGTGGGGGCTCCCTGCCCACTGCAGGGCAGACGCTGCTCCCTTGCCTTGTTCCTGCAGCTGTGGACACACTAGGCTGAGAACGGGCACCCCTGGGGCCACGGGCACGGCCGCTGCAGAGACCAACAGGGGCTGCGGGCGGTGCTCCCGTGGCTTTGTGTCCTCCCTGCAGTCACCAGCTGGTGACCCTTCAAGGAGCCTGTCCCCTCTGTGCAGACGCAGAATCCCCCACCCTGTGTTTCCCTGTGGTGGCTGAGCACTGAGACTGAACCAGTTTGCATCATCAGGAGTTGATGATGTTGTTAAACATTAATTTATTATTGAAAGGCAGAGGAGAGAGAGAGAGAGAGCGAATTTCCTTCTACTGGTTCCCTCCTCAAATGACCACAAGAGCCAGTCTGAGCCAGACCAAAGCCAGGAGCCAGAAGCTCCATCCGAGTCTCCCACATGGGTGCAGGGGCCCAAGCACTTGGCCCATCTTCTGCAGTCTTTCCAGGCCATAGCAGAGAGCTGGATCAGAAGTGGAGCAGCCAGGACTCAAACCCGCGCTCTAGTATGCAATGCTGTCATTGCCGTAGTTGGCTTAGCGTGCTGTGCACCGGTGTGGGCATCCAGCAGTTGGTTTTTAAAAGAATTTTGAGGGAATTCTGATTCCTGTTCCTCCCCCTGTTGGTGTCCTTTTTTTTTTTTGACAGGCAGAGTGGACAGTGAGAGAGAGAGACAGAGAGAAAGGTCTTCCTTTGCCATTGGTTCACCCTCCAATGGCCACCGCGGCCGGCGCACCGCGCTGATCCGATGACAGGAGCCAGGAGCCAGAGAGCTGGCCTGGAAGAAGGGCAACCGGGACAGAATCCGGCGCCCCGACCGGGACTAGAACCCGGTGTGCCGGCGCCGCAAGGCGGAGGATTAGCCTAGTGAGCCGCGGCGCCGGCTGGATGTCCTTCTTAAATAAGGGTCCATTCAGTCGCTTCTCCTGTGTGACCTGTGTAGGTGGGACTCAGTGTGGGCATGCAGGTGACCAAGGGTGGGCTTGGTCGTGTGTAACCAGTGGTGGGTGGTCCCATGCATCACTCGCAGTTGAGAGGAGGGGGCCGCCTTGTAGGAGCAGCTAGCGGTTTATTTGTGCAAGTCCCCATGTGCCAGTGCTTCCTACCCCTGTGTTGTGCTGTCCCGTGGCCTGTGTTCGGGGGCCCTTGGTGTAGGGATTCTGGGTTTCACCTGTGCTGAGGGCTCTGGACAGAGAGGCAGAGCATGTGTTTGCTCCCTGCTCCCAGATTCCTGGGCCCTTCGCAGAGCAGTACTGGGGCTGCGGTACTTACCCAGCTGCACAGTCTTGCTGGCAGGAGAGGCTGTCCCTTAGCTGCTGATAGGGCCCACCGGCTTCTTTTTATTTCCTTTTTTTTAAAGATTTATTTATTTATTTGGAAATCAGAGTACAGGGAGAGAGGGAGAAACAGAGAGAGAGATCTTCCAAATGCCTTCACTCCCCAGATGGCCACAACAGCCAAGGCTGGGCCAGGCCAGAGCCAAGAGCCAGGGGCTCCCCCAGGTCTCCCTCATGGATGGCAGGAGCCCCGCACACCCGAGCCAGCTTGGGAGCTGGACTGGAAGCGGAGCAGCAGGGACTC